TGGAAAAATCTTTACATTTGTTATAGTTTGTATAATAATGATAGATGAAATAGTAACATAGTTAATCTTTCTAGTGTTTTGTTTTAAAGATAAACACCCTTGTATATGATTTAGAGATATAAGAATAATTTGAAGCAGCAAAGTATTTACCGCCCTTGTTCACAATGGTATGTAAAATTACATTCTCTTTAAATGTAAAAAATACTCCTTTATTCAAAATCTCTCAATATATTTAGAATAGTTGCTAATTGGAAATATGACGTTAATTATCTTTCTTTGACCTGTTAGGGAGAAGACAACTTATTCCCTAGTTATTATTAGTAAATGTAATAACTACAGTTATTAGTGGCTTAAAATACCAGAAACCCCTCAAATATTGTCTTAGAAAACATTTTTTTTTTTAAACCAAGATCTGACAGCCATTGTGGAAAGTCACGTTTGTGAGATTGGTTGCTTAACAATGTGAATCTTAATTGTTTAAGTATATTTTTCAGCGGCTGTTGGGTGTAGCTTAAGATGATTAGAATTTTTTATTATTTCTAAAAGTGAGTTAAGAAAGCACTCCAATACAATATTGAAGGTATTTATATTTTAACACTACCTTTGTATAGGTGGTTTTATGTACCTTTAACCATCACAAACCAAATAAAATTTTCTTGGTATTTGAAAAACTGATAAAATATTTGATTACGTGTCTTTTAATGTATATACATAGAGTGGTATGGATGTTGAATTTATATCTTTGACATCTTTTCACAAGTTTGCAATAGGTGACCTAACTTATCAATTTCCAAAATAATCATGTATATCACCTGGATGGGTTAATCCATAATACTCTTTTACTTTCCCTTGACTGGACTTAGCTCTGGCAGACTGAATATTTTTATCATTATAATTAAACTTTATGATAGTTGAAGTAAAGTTTCTGCCTGTCTTTCAGTTCAATTTTAGCTGTTGAAGTATTTCACTTATATTAAGTGATTATACCACTCTGCAAACTTAAACGAATATAGAATAGTTTCTGATTTAATAAAAACATTTTTTACATTTTCTTCTAAAGTTTAAACATTAATTATTATTGCAGTTGTTATTGCAATCATATGATCTTTAACTATCATGATTCAATTATTTATAAGGGTAATTAGCTGTTATGCTCTTATACTTTATGTCTAATATATTTGTTTGTAGGCCAGACTGCAGCTGCATATGGCATTTTAGCAATAATCTTCAATTGCGTTTCAGATATTCACAAAGTCTATCCACCTTTGTAATTAACACATTATGTGTTTATTTTATACCATTAATTATAGTATCTGTATTATATTACACATTGTCACTGACACATTTCTGATACAGGGAAAAAATAGCATGATTGCATTAGTAATTATAATTTTCTGTCCATGTACCACATTCCTGGAAGTCCCGAATATAGCAATAATCCGTTGTCGTTTGATTCTATGGAGCCATTCAACGTTTTCATTGGTATAGTCATTCCAAAAGAGCAAGGAGTACGACGGTAGATCACATCTGCAACAGAACTATTACAGATTCCTTGTTGTATCAATGTCTCTGTGTTTATGTTTACAGGAATTACTTGCTTTGCAGGTATGTACATAATATGTAGAGATTAAGAAAAGCTGCAAATCGTGCTTTAGTACAAGTGTCCCATGATGTCAAGTTTCTGATAGATTTTGTCGGTCTTTCTATATTGCATTCTCTTGGCAGGGCATCTGTCTCTCCTCTGTGTCTTAACATTTAAAAGTACACCTATTTATACCTTAGGTGTCTCCATTTTAGGTTACTGTAGTTCAAATATGAAAAAGTAACACTTCTTTTACTTTATTCAATTTAGGACCTCCCTTAATTTGGCAAACATACAAGGCCATAACTAAAGGGTGTATACGTCATGGAAATTTTCCTGACTTAGTTCAAGATGGCATCTTAAAGTCTGAATAGGTTATCTGTTGTTTATACTAAGTCGTAAGTGTACAGTCGCGGGAGATTCCCGGATTTGGGGAAGTTCCATTAACTTGGGGTTACCACAGTATATTGTGTACTGCAAGAGTCGTAGCATAGCCTTGAAGCTTGTTTATGCATTATTGTTATTGTAATTCGTCTGGGACAAAATGGCGCAAACATATTATGCACTGAGGTTATTGCTTAAAGAAACATCTATGAAAAACAATATGTTCCATTTCTAACACCTTGTCAGTTTGCAATATCTCTTAAAGACAAAGTACACAGTTTAAGAAATACAACATTTCATTCTAAAACTTGTAATATTTGCATTTGCCCGTAACAGTCTGAGCGACTTTTGCCATGCCAATGTGCCCCCTGTGAGGTCTGTGTAGAAAGATAGTTCCATCGTTTCGAATTTGTAGGGGGACCAGTTTCTGGTCGCTGCCAGTACAGTGGTTTTGGCTGAGTATTGCGGGAACCGCACGATCAGGTCCCGTGGTGCTGCTGGTGGTGCCGAGGCCGGCTTTGGGGCCCGGAAGAAGCTGTCCAAGGTAATTGCTTTTGTCTGTTGTGGTGATAGTAGGGCCGCTAGTAGGCGCCTCAGGAGGTGCGACATTTCGGCCTGTGGAGTGTCCTCCGGGATGCCCCGAACCTTGATGTTATTAGCCCAGCGTGCTTCCTTCAGGGCCGCAAAACGGTATTCATGCTCTTCGTTCTGTTTCGGCAATCCTTGGACCACTTGTTGTAGTGAGGTGAGTTTGTCCAAGCAGACATTGGAGGCAGTCTCCAGTGCTCCCATTTTGCCTTTTAGGCCGTGTATGTCGTTGCGGAGCAAGGTTACGTCTGCATGAATCTTCTTTTGGAGGTCCGCAAGGAGAATCTTCAGTACCGATGTTGTTACCGGTGAGGTATCCGCTTTTTGGGCGGCTGGTGTTGGTCTTTGCATGGGTGTTAAGTCTGCTGCCTCATCCCCTGAGGAGAAATCGTCCGATAATTCGGAATAGGTTTCTGGGTAGGTGGCCATCTTGGCCCTGGTGGTTTCACGTGGCTGCTGTAGGAGAGCCGCAATATTAGGTCCCTGCCGTGGTTTTTCTGATTTTAGTTTCTTGGTTTTGCGCCCCATCTTGTTGTTTTATCACCCGCTGACCCTGAGGGGGGTTAATTGTGTATAATAGGTGGATTTGGGCCCGAAAATGCCAGAGCTCTTTTGTCATGTGGCTCTTCAGCTCGGCTGCATGGCTCCCCCCCCTCATATAATACCATTTTTGTTACATTCTCAATAAAGATTTATTAACATTGTCTAATACTGTGTTTGTGTTCTGATTTCATCTTTCAGGTGATCTCTTTTAATTTTAATCAGAGAAGACATGTTTATATTAAATTCCCTTTTCAACTTTTCCAGTTGAATATACAGATCAGATATCGATGTATAGTTCTTTTTTTTTTATATATGCGTTTAACCGAATTATTTGCCATCTAATTACAGACTTGTAGTTACACCATACAATTGTAAGGTTTGTATCACTTGTCAGATTCTCATTGAAAAAGCATTTAGATTCTTTAAATAATGTTTCAATGTTTTCCTCACTTCTTAATAGGGATTCCTTAAGCCTCCAAGAGGGTAATACTTTGGAATATTTTCCTTTCTATCTCCATAAATACTAAGTCGTGATCTGATCATGGGATGATTTGGATGTTAATCTTTTTGCAATCTTTTATATTTGATCAATATCATAATCAATCTTGAAAATGAGTTATGTTTAGTTGAATAAGAAGTATATTGTTTCTCTAATGGATTCAGTGTTCTCCATAAGTCGTATAATTTGTATTTACTAGAGTTGAGCGGACACCTGGATGTTCGGGTTCAGCCGAACTACGGGAAAAAAAAGTCCGGGTTTGGGCTCGAACTTGACCCCGAACTCCATTAAAGTGAATGGGGACCCGAACTTTTGGGCACAAAAATAGCTCTTAAAATCTCCTGGAAAGGGCTAGAGGGCTGCAAAAGGAAGTAAGATGGGGGTAAGAGTAGGACAAGTGCCCTGCAAACAAATGTGGATAGGGAAATCACTTAAAATAACATGACAATTAAAAATACAGCTGAGCCATAAAATAGCACTAGATGGAATCTTTGATTTTAGCTTTGGAAGAACATAAATCAAAATCTAAAGCATGGGGGGGGGGGCGGGGCCTGACCGCTGAACCGAGCAGACACGAAACTGTATAGCTCCTGTAACAGCAGGCAAGAACTAAGCCAAAACCAGGCCTGTAGGGCATCAAACCGACACAAAAGTGCCACCAATGGTGAGGTGCCACTGTGGGGTACATGCGGACACCAAACAATCAGCACTTTGGGCATGACATGGCAGAAAATTACTTGCGGCCTACAGGCATGGCGGACGCGGGGGAGGCGGCCGCTTCCCTGCAGTCCACCACGGCGGTAAGCACGACAAAAAGCCCACGTTCCCCCCCCTATGGACCGGCGGGGGTCATCCCGGTCCCAAGAGAGTTCGCCCAAGCAACGGAGCAGCACATCCAGACAGGGCCCATCCACACCAGACTGGTGCCGATAGCAACTGGGCCGTCTGGCACAAAAGAGGGTCCAGACATTCTGGCAAGGCTGAATGCCATATTCGAGGCATTCTGGCGAAGAATAGAGGACCGACAAGCACTGACCCCAGGCACGGAGGTACACTCACCACCACTGCTGCCTACACGCTCACAAAATCAAGGCTCACACCACGAGGAGAAACGAGCACAGAAATGGCGCCACAAGAAACATCTCCTCCCGCCACCAAGCAGAACCTCGCGGGCGCATCCAGTAGCAAGGGAACCATCAGGCAAGCCTAAAGCCACTAAGTCCCGACCCACGCTCAGACCGATAACTCACACAAGCTACAAGAGACGCCGGCACCGCTATACACACAGGAGCAAGCCAAGGGGGAGCAGAAACCAGCAGATCCCAAGGGCAAACCGGCAACACAGCCAAACAGTGGAAAGATCGGACCCAAGACCACAGCCTAATCACACACCTAGACTGGGATGGAAGACATGCCGACGGCCCAACGAGCCGCTGTGGGTCTGCCGACTGCCAGCAGAGGGAAGCAGCTACAAAGCCACCAGGGATGGCATCGGTTAAAGGGCAGAGAACTGAGATGGGGATAAGTCAGGGTACCGACTACCCAAAGTCCGACCATACCCAGTTGTAAAACACTTTGATTTCCTGCCTTAGAAGCACGTTGTTCCACAATTTTGTTTTAACCTGACAGAACACAACATTAGTGATGCCCACTTCACCCCACCTTATGTTAAAACGCACCTCTATCTAGTTTCACTGCCAGATAGTCAACACACTGTACCCAGACCGCTCTCACCTCTCTGGGGCTGAAAGCACATCACACACACAGACAAAGCAGCCATGTTGGAAATATCTTACCTAGCAGCTCCAAAACAAAGCAGAAATAGTCTAAAATCAACCTCTTGTATTATTACATTTCACCAAGTATCTAGAAAACCTCACCTACTAGGAATGCTGATGCTGTAATCGAACACTAGATAACTCACGCAAGCGTGTTTATAAACCTGTTACTATACCTTAAAAAATTAGTGCTTGACAATCGCAATGCTTTTATACCATGTAAGCTTTGTACCCTGTATTTTTTGTTCGATGCCGTTGGGGCATGAAAAGCGGTATGTACTCACCTGCACTACAAAAATAAAGAATTTAAAAAAAAAAAAAAAAAATCTAAAGCATGGCTGTCAGGAGGATCACCAGAATTATCCATTTGAGAGAGGGTTGGAGTGCAGGGTATTCTCTTTCATTGTTCAAACTGAGCTCAACTCCTGATGCATGGAGAAAAGGCCTTCACAAGTCTCTGCTATTGTGTACATAGTTTATACTTAGTGACCCATAGGTTGAGGACGCGGTGACCGTGGCGGTGTAGGTGGAAGCGGCGGTGGAGGAGGAGGAGGTAGCCAACACTGTTTATTTATATATATATATTTTTTTGATTTTTTATTTTTTTTATTTTTTTAAAAGACCAAAATATTGGGACATATAAAAAAAGAAAACAAAGAATAAGTGCACTTGAGTATAACAATGGTTGGGTGAGGCCGGTATAAATGTCTATCCTGCACAAGGTACAGACAAGTCTGGTGGGATCCATGCCTGGTTAATTTTAATAAACGTCAGTTTGTCCATGTTGGCTGTGGACAGGCGGCTGCTCTTGTCTGTGATAACGCCCAGTGCCGTGCTAAACACACGTTCAGACAATACACTGGCTGCAGGGCAGGCCAGCACCTCCAAGGCATAAAAGGCAAGCTCAGGCCATGTGCCCAATCTGGAGACCAAGAAGTTGAATGGGGCAGACCCATCAGTCAGTATGTGTAGGCATGTGCACAGGCGTCTGAAATGCTGCCTCCTGCTAAGACGTTCCATATCAGATGGCGGTGCTGGTTGTTGTGGCGTGCTGACAAAGCTTTTCCACATTTCGGCCATGCTAACCCTGCCTTGTGAGGTGCTGGCGGTGCCCCAGCTGCGTTGACAACCTCTTCCTCCTCCTCTGCCTTCGCCTTGTGCTTCCACTGAGCCCCCGGTGTCAGTTGGGAATGCCCTCAGCAGCGTATCTACCAGTGTGCGTCTTCCGATCACGCTCCAGTGAGGGACTTAAGGACGGCATGTTGTCCTTGTAACAGGGATCCAGCAGGGTGGCCACCCAGTAATCAGTACAAGTTAGAATGTGGGCAACTTGGCAGTCGTTGCGCAGGCACTGCAGCATGTAGTCACTCATGTGTGACAAGCTGTCCTCTGTGGGAGGTGAATCATCTGTGTCCTCCATATCCCCCAACCACGCTCCAGTTATGCCCACGAGCTGCATTGGGTGCCACCCATGGTTCCTCATCCTCATCCTCCAGAACTGTGCCCTGGCTGAACAATTGTGTACCCGGCCTATGCTGGTGCAGGAACCCACCGTCCAAGCCACTTGTGAATGACTGGCCTGATAACTGTGGAAATTACCCCTCTTCCTCCTCCTCTTTCTCCTGTGCCACATCCTCTTCCATCATCGCCCGAAGCGTTTTTTCAAGGAGACATAGAAGCGAGATAGTAAGGCTGGGAACGGCGTCATTGGCACTGGCCATGTTAGTGGAGTAGTCGAAACCGTGCAAAATGGAACACAGGTCTCGCATGGAGGCCCACTCATTGGTGGTGAAGTGGTGCTGTTCCGCAGAGCGACTGACCTGTGCGTGCTGCATCTGAAACTCCACTATCGCCTGCTGCTGCACGCACAGTCTCTCCAGCATGTGCAAGGTGGAGGTCCACCTTGTGGGCACGTCGCATTTGAGGCGGTGAGCGGGAAGGCCGAAGTTACGCTGCAGCACAGACAGGCGAGCAGCAGCAGAGTGAGAACGCCGTAAGCGCGCACAGACGGCCCTCACTTTCTGCAGCAGCTCTGATATAGCTGGGTAATTTTTTAGGAATTTCTGCATCACCAAATTCAGCACATCCAGAGCTGCTACGAGATTTCGCCCATTATCGCACACCACCACTCCGAGCTTAAGGCTCAGTGGCAACAGCCACCCATCAGTCTGTTGTTCTTCCCCCAAACATATGAGTTTTAAAATAGCCTGCTGTCGTTTCCCCCTGGCTGTGCTGAAGCTGGTGGTGAAGGTGTTACGCTGCCTGGATGAGGTGGTGGGAGAGGAGGAGGAAGCAGAGTAGGAGGAAAAGGCAACAGGAGGCAAAGAGAAATGCTCTGCAATCCTCAGTGGCGGAAGGACATGCGCCAAACTGCTATCCGCCTCAGGTCCGCCACTACATTTGCCCAGTGTGCAGTTAGGGAGATATAGTGTCCCTGCCCGTGCTTACTGGTCCACGAATCTGTGGTTATGTGGACCTTGCCACAGATGGAGTTGTGCAGTGCACACCGGATTTTGTCTACCAATTGGTTGTTCAGGGAAGGGATGGCTCGCCTGGAAAAGTAGTGGTGGCTGGGAACCACCATCAGGTTTTTAAAACTGCCCGTCTCCACTAGATGGCATGACAGCATTTCAAAGGCCACAAATTTTGAAATTCTGGCATTCAGGGCCAGGAATCGTGGGTGGCTAGGGGGGTACTTCCACTTTCTCTTCAGTGTTTGGGAGATGGACAGCTGAACGCTTCCATGGGACAGTGTGGAGATGCTTAGGGATGGTGGTGGACATGGTGGCGTTGCTGCCACATCCTCTGTTTGCAGGGTGGCAGGTGCCACTGTGACTCCAGAGGTTGGAGGAAGAGGCCGAGACAGCAGCAGAAGAGAAAGCAGGAGGAGCCTGAGACCTTTCTTGGTTTTTGAGGTGCTTGTGCTTTGCATGTAGATGCCTGGTCATGCAGGTTGTGCTCAGGTTTAGCACGTGTATGCCTAGCTTCAGGCTCTGATTGCACAGCGTGCAAACCACTCGTGTCTTGTCGTCAGCACATTGTCTGAAGAACTACAACGCCAGGAAACTTCTTGGAGCTTTGGTGTGCTCGACCCCTGGGTGCGTTGGGCAGTAGCAGGCGTAGCGTCTAGGGGACAGCCGCTCCGCTTTTGCACCCTGCTCCCTCTTATGCTGTGCTGGTGCCTCTGTGCGACCACCGACTCTTCCTCCAAACAGCAGGGGACCAGGTGGAGACAATGTGCAGGAACTGGAGGCACTGTCAGCCATCCAGTCTTCCATCGCCTGTACTTGTTCTGGCCTCACCATTTGTAGAGCGGAATTCGGGCCTACCATATAACGCTAAAGGTTCTGTCGCGTACTCGCACCTGAGGAGTGTCACAGCAGAATTTGACGGTTCTATTTGACTCTCAGATATGAAGTGCAGGCACCAAATTTACTTTTTAGCACCTAAAGAATCTGAATGTTTAAAAATCCGCTGTAACCACAGTATTAGACGATTCTATTTGACTCTCAGATATGAAGTGCATGCCACAAACGTACATTTTAGTACCAAAAAAATGTGAATTAGGCAAACTACAATGTCACAGCAGTATTTGACGGTTCTATTTGACTCTCAGATATGCAGTGCAGGCACCAAATGTACTATTTAGCACCTAAAGAATTTGAATTTTTAAAACTGCAATTTTCCTGTCTCATCTAGTTTTTTGGTCCTTCCCCTGGTTTTTCTCGGGAATGTCGGAGGAACAAGGTAGCTCATGAGTAAGATTAGTTATTGAATAGAATGGGCTACTCATATTGCCTAAATGCCTGTCCTTATAAAAATATAAAAACCCTCAGTAGACGGCAGGTGCCAATGGTTTTTTAAGGAATGGGCATGTATTGAATTTGTTGAACTGCATTATGTTTCCAAGAATTGTATTCAAGTTGGCTTCTGCTTAAGCCCAAACGTTGATGTACACTTGCTATGTCTATTGAGTGAAAAATAAAGAATTAAAAAACAAAACAAAAAAAAAACTGCATTGTAAGCACAGTATATGACGGTTCGATTTGACTCTCAGATATGCAGTGCACCGCAGGCCGCAAATGTACCATTTAGCACCAAAAAGTTTGATTTTTTTAAACCAACAATGTAACAGTAGTATTGAAGGGTTTTATTGGACTGCAAGAAATGCAGTACGCAAATGTACTATTTAGCACCAAAAAAATTGCAGTATTTAACCCCTTAAGGACGGAGCCAAATGTACACGTTGTGAACGAAACAAAATGTAAACAAAACCTGGCATTTGCGCTACATGTCTGTCCAACCGTAATACACCTCTTTCATAGTAAATGCACCCACCCTTATTATATATCATTTTATTCAGGGGAAACAGGGCTTTCATTTAATATCAAATATTTAGCTACGAAACATAATTTAATATGAAAAAAATGGGAGAAAATAAGAATTTATTTTATTTTTTTAGTTCTACGTGACATTTTAACGGTCAGTGTCATAATACTGTTTGCTTTTACTGCAATAAAATACACATATTTGTATTCAGCAAAGTCTCACGTGTAAAACAGTACCCACTATGTACAGGTTTTATGGCGTTTTGGGAAGTTACAGGGTCAAATATAGCACGTTACATTTGAAATTGAAATTCGCCAGATTGGTTACGTTGCCTTTGAGACTGTATAGTAGTCCAGGAATGAAATTTACACCCATAATGGCATACCATTTGCAATAGTAGACAACCCAAGGTATTGCAAATGGGGTATATCCAGTCTTTTTAGTAGCCATTTGGTCACAAACACTGGCCAAAGTTAGTGTTAGTATTTGGTGTGTGTGTGTAAAATGCAAAAATCGCCAATTTTGGCCAGTGTTTGTGACTCGCGGCTACTAAAAGACTGGACATACCCCGTTTGCAATACCTTGGCTGTCTACTATTGCAAAATGGTATGCCATCATAGTAATTTTCATTCTTGCTACCAAGTAGGTCACGTAAGGCACCTAACCAATCTGGCTGCAATTTTGGGGCGTGAAAAAAAAAATGAAACACAAGCCTTATATTTGACGCCAGTTAGCAACACAGAACTGGATACGGCTGGAAAGTTATTCCAGGAACACAAATATGTCAGGCCAGTGAAGTATACTATCACAGGAGCGCCGCTGGTCAGTCGTATT